TTCTGGCACAACCATCCAAGAGACCTGAAACAGATCCTTATGGTCTGCATGCATCAGATTTGCCTGATATAAAATTAGGACAGTGAAAGATCAGAAATTGCTCCTCTTGCTTTTGTGTCTTCCTGATTCTTCTATACAAGTAGAGTACAACAAACCTGTGTCACAACCAGGAGCTTGATGACCAGTGTTCTGTACAAGGGCAGCATTTCCCATGACCTGTTAGAGGATCACAGCCATGCCACCTTGGTGGATCTGAGAATCAATCAGAATTCAACCTCATTCTCCCCTACACAGCATCCTTTGTGCTGGAATAAAATCCCTCTCCACCTCTAGTGAGTGTGAGGAAATTTCACAAGTGTGTAAGTCCTTGGTACTCCCCCTCTTCAGGTCAAAGGTCTGGAAATATCAAAGAATATTGTAAGGTGGTAGAGAAATAGACACACGTGCTTAACTGCTGAATTTATTAAATACAGAACTCTTGGCGGTTTATAATCAGGGATTCTCAAAAGTGGACTCTTCCTCTCTTATAGGTCCAAGAAGAATTTCTTACTGAAGGATTTAAAGAAAAATCTGAGGCATTAAGTAAAGAGATAAATCGACTAAATGAAGAGATTGAAGCATCTAAAAAAAACAGTCGCTCGATATTTTCACAGATCCTTACTGGAGTTGGCAGTGTTTTCCTTGCAGTACTCCCTGGGGCTGGTAAAATAGTTGGTGCAGTGTTGACTCTCATAGGCAGTCTTTTGGAATAACCTGAGGATTCCTGATAGGAAATTATAAAAAGAGGCATCTTTTATTTGAATAGCTACTTTTTAAGGTACCTGTGTCATATCAGTTTCATTCAAGAGATGTTCGAGAATAAAAAGCAATTATCAAAGATTATCAGAGTATATTCTGAGAAACAATATTTATTGAAGAAATCATAAATGACTAAGACAATATGAGATGATTTCTAGAGAAGATTTTAAGTAAAACAAAAATTTAAATAGCAATAATGAAGAAAATATTTGAAATTCATATATGAGGAGCTCTGTGGGAAGTGACTAACAACTGCATTAAGTAGAAAGAAACATAAGAAAAAAATTAAATTTACTAATAAAAAGTGTGCACAATAAAACTGTGAAGCACATAGTTTTGCCTTCTTAGTGGGTAGTGAAGAACAGGTTTAATAATATACATAAAAATTTAAAATGCACATACCTCTGATCTAGCAATTCCACATATAGGACATTCTCTTATGTATCTCTTCACTCAAATGAAAATGATATTTGTAGTGGTTTACTTATTTCAGGATCATGATGATTACAAAAGACTGGAAGCAACTGAAAGTTCCTGTCAGGTACTGATATGGGAAATCTTAAGACATGCTTTCAGAATAATACCCTATAATGATTGTTAAAAGGATGGGGGGAGTTGTATGTGTCGGGAAACATCTCCAAGAGGCATCTTAAGTGAAAAAATATAGAAAGTGTGAATAATTTATAAAATAATGAGTATGTACATATGGTATAACCTACATGTGGAAAATACAAAATAAACTAGTATATATGTCACAATAGGAAGGCACCTGTCCAGTTGAGGTGAAAGAAGACAGAACAACTAACTTTATACTATATTTTCTTCCATGCCTTAACACTTCCTATGGATTTGTTATATTCAAACAAATATGAATTCAATTAGCAAAATTAAAAATGAAATAATACATGACTGGGAATATCCCATGACATGAGGAAAGTGTTTAATACTACTAGAAATAGCAAAAGTCAGCTCAACTAGAAAAGTCTGCTCCTGAGAATAAGGAACTAGAGACCACAAGACATCCTGATTTTTTGTTTTTAATTACGACCTTTCAATAAGGCCTTTAACATCTATTCCCCAGTATATGTTCAGATAGAAGTCTCCTGCGATTTTGACTTGAATGGTCTACAAATTCTGCCCCATATTAATAAAGAAGGGAATTTTTTCATTTGAGTTAATTCAACATTTATAGAATAATAATAATAATAATAATAATAATAATAATAATAATTTTTATTATTTTGTGGTGCTGTGGATTGAAGCCATGGCCTTGTGCATGCCAGGCAAGTACTGTATCAACTGAGCTAAATCCCCAGCCCAACATTTTAGTAATTCTTTCCAGGTGTCTAGTGCTTCAGATTTACAGCCAGAATGAACTCCTAGTAATTCTACAAGCTGGGCATGCTCTCTTAACTCTGGACCTTTACAGATACACAGAGGCTTCCTCATCAGCCCAGCTTCCTCACCTCTTATCTTTATTTGTCAACCTATGATATTCCATGAAGTCTCCTGTCTAACTTCCTGAGATAGGATGGAGCGTCCCTCCCCTCTGCTTTCATTGTGCCATATTGTCACTCTACCATAGAGCTTTTTTAAAATATATATAATTGTGAAATTGAAAAGTGCTTCTGTCTATCACCTCTTGATCTGAGGTACATGGTCTTCTTCCCCACCCGATCTTTAGTTCCAAGTACAAAGCCCATAAGTACCAGGTATGAACTGTTTAAACACATGAGATGCCCTTCAGTAGGGCCCCAGTTGACCATGTCCTCACCACATTTCTCAATTTCTAAGGCTCTCCAAATAAAGGATAATATTTGAGGAACTAGTGCAGAAGGGACTCACTGAAACTGAGAGGACTTGTCCACTGGTGTGAAACTGCTGCCTATTATCTCTGCAGGACTGGACACCCCATGTCCCTGAGATCCCCAAGCTTCTTACTCATAGTAACTACCCAGGAATGAAATCACTAATGTATTTCCTAGCAAAATATGATTTTAATATAATAAACAAAGTGCCATAATCATGCAAACCTCACTTCTGCCATAGTCTTTCTATCAGTCTAGGCTGGTTCTGCTGAAATAAAACTAGGCATTTTATATAAAGATTAAAAAATCTCCCTGAAAATAATACCCACAGGCTGTCAGAGGAATCTGCATATTGTCCACAGAGCCAGGAGACAGCAGCATTACAAATACTTCCTTGTTTCCTCCTTCTTACTAAGGTCCTAAGAGCACACCTGTGCTATCTTGGGTCTTAAAGTAATGGTCAGTCATCTTTTAGTTTCCCCAACCAAAGCATATATACAGAGGTTTCTTCCACTGGCAACAGAATTCCTGCTGCTGAGTCAATCCCCAAGGGCTTGCTGGTCTCTCTAAGGAATGTCCTAAACACTGCACATTGGGATGGTCTGGTAAAGGACAATGAGGGGGCAGGCAAAATCTCTGGTGCCCCATCACATCTCCCCAACACACTTGTCCAGCAATGCAATATGAAACCCTCAAAAAGGAAATGTTGGCATATAATTATAGCTATTTGTTCATAAGGAAAGGGTCAGAAGTGAGGTAAATAAAATAATAAAAGAAGAGTAAAAAAGACTTCCCCATCCACCCAGTTTAAATCTTTGTCATAAGTTGTCATCTGTTGGGTTAATGTTTATAGACACCCAAAAGAAGTTTGTAGGCAGAAGGCCCCTCACATACTTGAAAATAAATAAGTACTTGTTGAATTTTTGATGGTATAACAGATCTATTTTTTCAAGCACCTTCTCAACAATTTTGTAGGAAAACAATTGCACACCACTTGTCTACATAGTATTTGGCCATTTTCATAACCCCTTGTGCATTTTACCAGATTGTGTCGACATCCCACCTTGCTAATACCACCTTCTGACATGTTGGGCTGAATTTGAGCAAATTGCAATAATTTGTAATTTCAAGAATCTTTTCTGTGTTGGAGTTGAAATTAGGTGTGGGAATGTGTTAGAAATAATAATAATAAAAAAAGAACTGAGCAGATCTCTGAATACTAGCAGTGGAAATAACATAAGGAATCAGGGAAGCTGAGACAGTTGCATGGTCTCCTTGTGGCCTCCTCAGTCTCAGATTACATTCTGTCACATAAGCATGTCCTTCAGAGGGACGAAGTAAGACCATGTGACCAAGCTGCCTGCATCCCCCTGAGGGGCCTCTGTGAAGCAAGGTCTCTTCCAGGGGGAATTTGGAGAGGTTCTGAGGAAGGTTTTCTAGCCTTATAATTAGACCAAAAGCAGCATCCTCTGTGGAGTGAGGGGTCCCCTTCAGTCCCTAGAACATGGCACAAGTGCAGTGGGCTTGTAGGACTGCTGTGCCTTCTGTCATGTTCATGAAAGGGAACAGGCACCTCCTTACTTCTCTTAAGTAATCACATCCTGAATCCCACACAAGGAAGCCCGCTGACTTCATTATTTCTTTCAATTCTTATGTGACTGAGAGACTCTGAGGATGATGAAGGACAAGCACACAGCATCCAATGGGCTGAGTTGTGAGCAAGGTAGAAGGTTACTACTCACAAAAGTGAGCCATTAACTATCTGCTTGGACAGTTGGGACATATTCAGAGAACTTACTATGTGGTTGTCTCAAAGGCAAAAACAGAGGATGATTGAACTCAGGTCATTGGAGGGAAATCAGTTATGGGGAGACATTTGGAGTTATGTGCAAAACAAAGCTGTCACAATGTGTCATATGACTGTCCAATGCTCTCTGCAATTTCCAGGTGAGCTGATGAACTGGTGAAAATAAGATGGCTGGAGGAAGCCTTAGCAGAAGAAATTGCTTCTTGGCTACACTGTAGATTAAAGCATGCAGGACGAAAGACTGTGAGTGGTTGGGACATGCTGGGGACTGTCCATAAAATGTCTGATGTTGCTGAATACACAGAATCCCCTTACCTGCTCTCATTGCTACTTGCAATGACTAGATGCCTCCAAGGGGCATATCAAACTAAATGATCCTCTGCAATGATGTCAGATGTACTACATGCGTCCTCTCCCATTATCAGAAGGGGACAAATATGCTTTGACCTGTGTGAACACATTACAAGCTTACTTCCAACTTTCCCCAGCAAATATAACCAATGCAAGGGCCATTGTTAAGGAGCTAATCTGACTGTGTGCTGTGAATGGCACACCATAATTAAAGGAGAATGACCCAGTAATCCATTTTGCAAGTCATGACACATAGTACTCTCAAATGAGGACATATTGCGGATTTTCCACCTGAAATATAATCCAACAGGTGGATTAAATGATAGAACCAATGCCCTGCTGAAAAAGTCTTGGAGACTGAAAATACTTCTTATTTTATTGGTTAAGTTGAATTGTCTGCCTGAGGCGCTGAGACATTAGTGCCTGCATGAGTGCCAGGCATGAGCAGTCTGCAAGCAATTCTATGTTAACATGCCCATGGCACTTAAGATTACAGATAAAGGGCACATCCACTGATCATCTTCTCAAACTGGTCAGGGGTACTAAAGTGATAGTAGGAGCAAATGTGACTCCATTTTGTTTTATGACTTCATCCTGTAAAACAACCATGCCAAGTAGAAGAGTCATGACTGGAGCAAGATGTTCTTTTCCTTTTGCTATAGAAACCTTTAAGAACACAGAACTACCTAATGGGGCATTGTTTCTGTAACTAGGGTAACGGGGCTCTGTTTCTGTAACTGGGGTGACTGAGCTAACTGTGATTGGTTAGGCTTCCCTCCGCGTGACTGTGCTGTCCCGCTTCTGTAACCTGGCTTGCTTGCATTGGCTAGACCCGCCCCCCCCCCCCCCAACATCCCTTTTGCAGTTTTCAGACTTATAAGGAGTGCCCTTGCAATTGTT